CTCCTAACAAAAGAGAGAAGAACTCACTGCAAACTCTTAAAAATGTCTTTGTAAGCTGTCCGTCCGTCCTTCTGTCTGTTGTAATCACGCTAAAGTCAAAACGAATTAAGATAGGCAGCTGAAATTTTGCAAAGATCTGTATTTTTCATGAACATTTTTCAATAAAATGATCTGAAAATCCACAAAAGGAGTTCCTTCTGAGTACTTTTCTACCTGGAAGAGTATTGTCTATATAGGTCCACGGTATCGTATATCCCCCATATAAGGGTACCTCCCCATAGTCGGAGAGGATATCCGACTTAGTCCTGACTTGGCACATCGTACTATTATTATTAAACTTAGATCGAGTTCTGGGATAGGCAATATCGGTCCATTCCTTCTGGTACCTCCCCCACAAAAAGAAAAAGAATGTAATTTACATTATATAACAAAATAGGATCATTGAATTTTGTGCAAACTTTGCAAATCCTATTTTTTACAGTGCTAGGTTAGGTGCCAAATTATACAACATCGGTCCGCTCCATCAAGTATTTTGAATAATTAAAATTCTTATAAAATGTGAAATAAGAGTTCGATTGTCTAGATTTGGTTTGAAGAACGAATAAAACGGAAAACTCCTTACGGTACCTCCCCCATAACGGGTCAAAATGTCGAATAACCATAAAACTTATAAAAATCGAAATAAACATCCGATTACTTTTACTGGTGTAAACATGAAATATATCGGAACACTTCTTCTGGTCACAACTGTTACGTTATGCTGACAAAAGCTGATGGTATACATCTGTCAACAAATCCCACTCATACTTGCTAAATTCTGTTAGTTATGTTGTAATGGAACAAATAACTTAAGTAAAACAAGTAAGCAAAGGCTACAGTCGAGCGGGGCCGACCGTTGAATACCCTACAACACTATAATAAACGATACAGTTTATATAGGCGAGATACTCGAAAGAATTCCACAAGATATTGTGACAAATAATAAAAGAAAACCATCAGGTTTCGTTCTCTAATTTTCGAATAATAGCAACTTAAACTAATTTGCTCATTTCCAATTTATTGGTAGATGTTGCACGTAAATGGTCTTCCTAGATCTGGAACCAAAATTTCCCAAAGACCTATAATCTCTCAGAAGTGGCAAAAGATTAACATTTATTATTGGTTTTTGACTGAAACGCATCTATATGAGATACTGATATTTGACTATATTCTTCAACGAAATCAGCGTTAACGAAATAGTCAGAAGTGCGTCTTTCCTGTATTTGTGAATTCTCGAAAAAGTCACTGGAATTGACATTTTCGTATTTTGCCTACAAAAGTTGGCAAACTATTTCACACATAGAATATTTTTGGATGGCCATCCAAAACAGCTTGGCATTTGCAATGTCCCCCATTCAAATGTGCGTGAGGATCGGGCGATAATTACGACCTGCTGACAATTTTGCAGTTTTTGGTCCATTTCAACCCCTTAATATATGGCGATCATTTCCAAAAAGAGTAGGCTTCTATTCTGACCCTCAGTTTATCCCCATGCAAAATTTCGTAAGGATCGGGCCATAAAAGCGATCTGTATATGATATCCTGATATCCTAACTACTTAGTTTTGTTACCTGTAGAAATATTACCAAACGTTTAATTCAAAATGAAAATATGACAAAATTGAAAAATATGAGAAAATTTTACAAAATCAATGTTTTCATCATTAGCGAGATATTTTTATGCGATTTTTTTAGACGTTTTTTCTTTCCTGCCAAGAGGCAATTCTGAATTAATGAGAACTGTCGAAATCAGTTCAGTCGTTCTCGACATATAAGAGATTTTTCAAGCATATCTTCTTTGATAGACATATATATCGCACATATTTTGCTATATATCCGATTTGTTGGATGTTAACATCAATGTAAAGATCAGAAGTAACCTTGTTATGGCTTTGTGATTTCGCCGGGATTTAAAATATTCGCGGTTTAATGAAAAATTTAGAATTTTTTCAACACAAAAGATATGGTCTATTTTACCCGCTAAATATTATCCGATGACCACCCAAATTGGTAGGCTTCTTCCCCGCCCTAAACTCTAGCTACATGCGAAATTCCGCGTCGATTCGTCTATAATTGCGACCTGTATAGCTACTGCAAAATCCGACATTTTTTCAGTATTTGGTCCATTTCAACCCCTAAACATTTGGCGATCATCTCCAAAAGAAATAGGGTTCTATTCTGGTCCAAGCCCCACCTACATTCTAAATTTCGTGAAGATCGGGCCATAATTGCGACCTGTAGAGTGATTACAAATTAACATGGACAGACGGACGGACGGACATACATAGCTAGATCGACTCAGCTCGGCGAGCTAGGAAGATCCATATATACTTTCCTATGTGGGAAACCAATATTTCGAGGTGTTACATAAATTCTGGCCCAATCAAACTTATAATACCCCCAACACATAGTGTTGTAGGGTATAAAAACATAAAGGAAAGAACACGTAAACCAAACGAAAAGTTTTCATGGATGAACTAGTCATTCTTGAGAAGAGAAACGAAATAGATTGAGCCTCTCAGCCAAGGAAATCAGGATTGGTTTAGAGTTGGGACTTGCCCAAAATGAAATAAAATATTTCTAATAAAATCGGATGGTGGTAACAGGTCGTCTACTTACTTTATTAATTATTTTGTAGGACCAAAGTTAGACTGATGTTGCCATACTGTCGATGGCAATAGACAACATTTGCCTCAACCCCACTTATTCGAATTTTCAATATTCCTCTGTGACTCTCTTACCATCAAAAGTATAGCCCGAAGCGATGATACACACAAGATGCCTATGTGTATGTTTATGTACAAAGATTTTTCACAAGGCTGCTTCCAACTCATCACTGATTTGTCAATTGGCAGATGTTTGTTTTCAGCTATTCTGTTTTTCACAACATTCTTCTCATGGTAGAACATACTCGGTATATATTCATGTGTATGTGCCAGAAATCGTCATCAGAAATGTCATAATCCTCGAAGGCTCTTGTCTGATGACAACATAATCAAGTCGGAGTAATTTCTTCGATTTCAATTGTGCCCGAACAAGAAATTCATTACGTTGATGAAATTCTGGTACATGTGTATGTATGTGTGATTGCAGATGAGCTTTGGCAAAGTATATTAAAATGAAAACACCCGAAGAAGTCTTAAATTCAATTTTTTATGAAAACTAATATTTTTATTTATTTAATTGAGCTCATGAAAATACGACATGCGAAGAGTAGATTATTTATTACAATAATATAACATAAATAAATATAATAATTCTCTAAATTTAAATAAGTTAATGCTGCGAACAGCTGCTTTCATGATCTATTGTATTAGATCACAAGTCAGCTTTTATGAAGGCATCTGAGGGAGTGGACACTGAAAATTCTTGTTGTTATGAACGCAGAGAAGAAAAATCCCACAATGGAAACATGAGCCGATGTTGTCAATAAATAACATAAAAATTAAGGTCCGTTGATAGACAAAATCAAGATAGATGTCTGTGAACTCTCGCGTATACAACGACTAATGAATCTATGTCACTTAAGTAAAGAACTCGACAGAACAGTTTTGACATGTTTGTTCGGGATACAATCTTTTTACATTTTCAGAACTATGCATATAAATAATATATTTCTTCGTAGATTAGTTCGTATATTTATATACCTTATGGAACTTTCCGCGTAGATTCCTGGATTCAAAGAAGGTACATGCTGAGAATATTTTTGCTTGGCGAGAAATAAATCAAAACACTGACCTAATGATTAGTTCAGCAACAATTGCAGACAGTTGCAGAATAAAAGAAAGATTAACAACACGTCATATAACCCAAAAAAGTGTATTTTTTTCTTCTGAATAATGTATAGAGTGGCTCTTACGTCAATCCCAACGCCCTCCTAAATGGCAAAACTTTTATTACCTCCCAACCGAAAGTGAGATCGATTCAAAATTGTTAAACGGCCGTCTAAATTTATCATGATGATTTTATTAAAGCAATCGTTGTTACTTTGGGTTACAAAAGTGTATACCCCTTCTTTTTAGCATAGACATGTCATACAGAGAGTAAGTCCTTCCGAAACTACCACCAATAATCAACTAATAAGTTGAAACAAATCAAAATAAGGCCACATTTGGCCCAGCCAAGTGAAAACGTGACTTATAACCAAATCGGCCAAACTTGGAGCTCCGTTACATGGGTCAACATAAGATATTTCATGCAAGAGAAGCCGAAACATTAAATTACAAATAAGTTGGTTGGTATTTGCATCCGATATCTTCAAAATAACATCCGTATAAACAAATAAAAATCATTGAGTTGGCTCATTGACTCGCAAACAAAATTGCAACGCAAGCAAACTCACTGCCTACCATTGGGTACATGTTCATGCCGAACAAGTTGTTTATCCGTAACATACACGAAACGCAACATGACTGAGCTTTCCACTTCTCCTGCAACATTAAGCGGTCCGATTTGATTTTGCGCTCTTTCGTCGTTCACGTGTCCCGGGAGCAAGTCGTCCTGCTCGTACTTTGGAACTGTACAGATTTAACATCCCTTCTACAGAAAGTTTCTGCATCGGTGTTCGTTGTCTTTTTGCCAGCCCTGCTAAATGGCCTATTTTGATGGAGCCCAGCAGCAACTTCACATCACTTAACCTCAACGAAGGTTATTCTGCTCGTCTGTTTACTTCTGCTTTGCCTGGTTACACCTAGGATGAGTACCAGCCACTCTCTCGGTCGTAAGTCTCCACTGAATGGCGATGATGTTGCTCTCCCTGCCTAATCCAATTAGAACTTATGGAAATGCTTCCACCAGCATTTTTTGCCCGATTTGAGCGCTTGATAACTCAGTTTGCCTCTCAGCAGCACAACACGCGCACACAATCTCCCTGACACAACTAGCATTGCCTTCCTATGCCCCGAATGCCGGGTAGAGTATGGATTTGTAAATTTATGTGCACATGAATGTGTGTGTACCGCTGCACGCATACAAAACAATATACAAGTGGATGGGCCCGTCGCTTTTCGTTTTTCGCTCGCTGCAAGCACAATGGATGGTGACCAGTTCCATGTTTGTGGGAAGAAGAAGCTCACAGAACACGAGTTTCGATGGACGCCTTGTTTGTGTTTCTTTCATTTGATTCCATTCGTTGGCCTCTCTTCTCGTCGGTCGTTGGAGGAAAATTCTGCAAAACACAGTTTAGTGTAGACTCCCCGAGGTTTCGGTTCTTACCAGTTGTTGGCAGTGTTCGTGAACAAAGTTTCAATAGCCGTCGGTATTCACAAAATCCGGTGCAAAAATACATAAATCAAAATAAAAAAAGAATAAATATGACAAAGCAACAACAACGACGTGGTCTACACACTGATTTGGTTTAGATCTGCATCGGGCAGTTGTATTGCAAATCCGAGTCCGCTTTGAAATTGGAGACAAAAGAAAGCACAGGCAATACAATATGCTTTCTACTTGCATTCTGCGTGCTACCGCGTCGAAATAATGCTAATGGAAACGCACGTAGAAGTAAATCCACCTGGAGAAGAAATGTGACATAGCCTGTGCCGTGTTTTGTGAACAGATCTCAAAGTCCACCACACCCCTGCCGAAGCTACTAGGCGACAGACCTACTCCCATACATACTACACACTTCTCATAGTTTCCGCTTCATACTAGCTTGGCCCTACCCAAATCATAAACAATCGGATAATGAAGTGCTCCTCCAATCGCTTCAGTGCAAACACAATAGGTTCAACGTCCAGTATGTGTTCCCAATTGCAACAAATGGTCACCCTTCTTCTAATGGCCACTGCGTTCTGTGCAATTAGCGTAGTTGGCAGTCCCACACAACAACCGCAACAACTGCAGAAGAAAGAGCAGCTTGAACTGCATAACCACCATACCACAGCGATACGTGTCCAGCAATGCCGCGACGGATGCTTGGAGAAGGTATGTTTCAAAGTTGAGATGAATTTGTACCACCTTTATCCGATTTCAGTGACATATGTGAATACATACAGATATATGTGTGTGCGAACGTGTAGCGTCCGTTTGAAATATACATCACCTTTGGCCTCAGCCTCCCGATAGTTGTGTTGACTGACTTTCCGAACACATGTATTTTCAGTCCGGGTTAGCTTGACAAGAAGTAACGAAACTGACGAATCTATAGACATATATATGTATGTACATACGTACCTATGTTGTATGTATGCATCCATTTAATGCGTTCCACAACTCCACTTTCTATGGATCCTCTTTGAAATGTCATGTTTCAAAACTCTTCTGTCAGGGCTTTCATAGTATTTTCGAATTAAAACAATCCATAATTATGGGTCTGCAATATGTTTATGCATACATATAGATTTTCCTCTTTGGCATGGCTAGATTTGGTCATTTGGTTACGTTCATGAGGGTTATTCTAATTGAGAGAACATCCACCCTTTGTCTTCCTATTAAACTGTTTGTGGATGGTTCTTTGGTCTGTTCAATAAATTATGCACAGCGACACACAATCACCCACCCCTACCACCACTGCCAACCCCACCACCGGTAAGACAGAAACAACAGTGTAAAAAGACGGCAACTTTTAACTTTATCCAAACTTTTCCGTAAAGCTAATTCAGCAGATTTGCCCAGAGACGAACAATCGTCATGCAATCACCATTTCGCGGCAAAGTTCTCAAAGCCCTGGAATGGAACTGTCTTAAATGTTTGTCCTTATAAAAAAATGGAAGCAGTGTGTAGCTGCAACGCCATTGCGCTTCTCGTCATTCCCGGTATTCTTCAAGGATTTCGTCAATTAGATCTATAATTTGCGGAGGTAATTACAATAGAAAAAAGACAGATAGTAAAACATCTTACGGCAAGTGAAGGGACATCATACTTAGTTAGGAACAATATTGTAGGTCCTAAACTTGTTGCAAATCAAATGACTTTGTGACTCACTCCGGAAGACAAAAAAAAAAAAAAAAAAAAAAAAACAAAAAGGGTACGAATTTAATTAGAGTGGCTCGTCTTAAAACAATGACATTTGACACGAGGAAATGGGATGCGGATGTAGGACTTCTCTACAAATCATGAGATCGCAAGTTCAAGCGGAAAATTTACAAAAAAGTTGTTGTAAAATGTGACATTGATACAGAATTCTAAAATATGTGTTAGTAAGGGCCATGTTAGTTGACGTTTCGTATAGCACCCGCCCCCGGTTGTTTGAAATTGGGGAAACAGAGTTAATAACGAGATCCACCTCTACATTCAGAACATTGGCTATGTAGGTCCACGTTTTCCAATAGATCTCATGTAAAGGCACCTCCCGATATTTGGTATTCTGAATTGATAACATACGAGCTTTATGCCATCCCTTTAAAATTCACAACAGAGAGACAACTTTTTTGTTGATTCTATCATGTGACCTACTTATTCAACATCAAGCACAGGAACTTTTTTATAATTTAAAGGTAAACTTATTATTAAACTGGGACAAATAAAGGGTACGAAAGATCTCTTAAAGCAGATGGATATAGGAATTGTAAAGAATCACTGAGTTGTTTCGCAATTTATGACAGATAAAAATATTGAAAAATGTGTCTCTTTGTGGGTGAGGTGCCAGAAGTTGTTCGCAGATATATAGGATCATCTTCAAAACAGATCTGGTGTTAGCAAAAATAATTTGTATGTGTGAAATTTGAAAAGAGTTTAATCCTTATTTCGCTTTCTTTGAGCCTTATGTTTTTCAAAATTAGATTATTGCTTCCTTTCTGTGCAGAAAGGATGTGACATTGATACAGAATTCTAAAAATATGTGTTAGTAAGGGCCATGTTAGTTGACGTTTCGTATAGCACCCGCCCCCGGTTGTTTGAAATTGGGGAAACAGAGTTAATAACGAGATCCACCTCTACATTCAGAACATTGGCTATGTAGGTCCACGTTTTCCAATAGATCTCATGTAAAGGCACCTCCCGATATTTGGTATTCTGAATTGATAACATACGAGCTTTATGCCATCCCTTTAAAATTCACAACAGAGAGACAACTTTTTTGTTGATTCTATCATGTGACCTACTTATTCAACATCAAGCACAGGAACTTTTTTATAATTTAAAGGTAAACTTATTATTAAACTGGGACAAATAAAGGGTACGAAAGATCTCTTAAAGCAGATGGATATAGGAATTGTAAAGAATCACTGAGTTGTTTCGCAATTTATGACAGATAAAAATATTGAAAAATGTGTCTCTTTGTGGGTGAGGTGCCAGAAGTTGTTCGCAGATATATAGGATCATCTTCAAAACAGATCTGGTGTTAGCAAAAATAATTTGTATGTGTGAAATTTGAAAAGAGTTTAATCCTTATTTCGCTTTCTTTGAGCCTTATGTTTTTCAAAATTAGATTATTGCTTCCTTTCTGTGCAGAAAATATATATCTCAAATTTTCGACCATTTGTGGGGGAGGTACCATAAGATGTGGACCGATATACTTCATCTTAACGCTAGAGCTTGGGTTAATATAAATATTGGGATGTGCGCCATTCGAAGACAATCGGACTCAAACATCACATTTTATGAGAGTTGTAATTATTCAAAATTTTGACCATTTGTGGGGGAGGTACTTGAAGGAGTGAACCGATATTGTCCATTTTTACACCTAACGTAGAACTGATGCAAATATTAGGATTTGCAAAGTGAGAGCAAAATCGGATTATCCTTTCTCTTTTTGTGCAAAAAATATATTTTTTTTTTTGTTTGAAAATTTCGACCTTTTGTGGGGGAGGTACCAGAAGGAGTGGACCGATATATTCCATCTTAACACCAGACCTTGGGTTAATATAAATATTGGGATGTGTAAAATTTTAAGACAATCGGACACTTACATCACATTTTATGAGAGTTGTAATTATTCAAAATTTTTACCATTTGTGGGGGAGGTACTTGATGGAGTGGGCCGATATTTTCCATTTTCACACCCGACCTCACACTGACTCAAATATTAAGATTTGCAAAGTTGGAGCAAAATTGGACTATAATTTCTCTTTCTGTGCAAAAATTAATTTTTTTGAAAATTTCAAACTTTTGTGGGGGAGGTACCAGAAGGAGTGGACCGATATTGCCCATCTCCGAACACGATCTAAGTTTGACAAAAATATTACGATGTATCAAGTTTGGACCAAATTGGATACTCCCTTCGAGAGTTATCGTGCGCACCAGCCAGCCAGACAGACGGACAGACAGACAGACGGACGGACGGACGGACATCGCTAGATCGACTCGAAATGTTCTGAAACGGATTTGGTCCAAAGAGACCTAGGGTCTAAAACCGTTATTTCGACTAGGCACGTTTTGGCCGTATCAAATGATATATACCCTCTGTAGCCATATGGCTGAGGGTATAAAAAGCTCTTAGAGACCTGCTTGTGTGGATTTTCATACAATTCCATTGAAAAATGTGGCTAAAATCATCAAAATACCGGATATCGGAGGTACCGTTATATGGGGGCTATACGATATCGTGGACCGATATAGCCCATCTTCGAACTTGACCTGGCTATAGACAAAAGAGAGATCTGGGCAAAATTTTAGGTTTCTATCTTAATTCGTTTAGCCTGTAGCGTGATTACAACAGACGGACGGAGGGACAGACGGACGGACAGTGCTAAATCGTCTTAGAATTTTACGCTGATCAAGAATATATATAATTTGTTGGGTCTAAAATGATTATTTCGATGAGTTACAAACGCAATGACGAACTTAATATACCCTCCATACTATGTATGGTGGAGTGTAAAAAAACGCTGTTATACTTTACAAAACACTAACAGCGATGGTGCGGAAACTTTTTTTGCGTCGCTCGATGTCGTGTGTTGTGGGCCTACAACACTAATATAATGTCACGATGTCGTGACAACTTTTTTGGTAATTCCATCATGGGACCTACTAATTCAGAGCGTCATAAGGATCTCTTAAAGTCCTCTCGAATCAGAATTTTTTTCAATAATATAGTATTTTTTTTTCGAGATATTTTAGCGATTTTAAGAAAGTTATTATCCTTTAAGTTTTTTGTGACCGCGTTAAATTATTTCCACACCATCTATTCTGTTTTGCTATCACATAATTCGGTACTACACTTTAATGTAACCCGCTTGCAATTTCAGTTTTCAGTTTAACAGCGATGGTGCGGAAACTTTTTTTGCGTCGCTCGATGTCGTGTGTTGTGGGCCTACAACACTAATATAATGTCACGATGTCGTGACAACTTTTTTGGTAATTCCATCATGGGACCTACTAATTCAGAGCGTCATAAGGATCTCTTAAAGTCCTCTCGAATCAGAATTTTTTTCAATAATATAGTATTTTTTTTTCGAGATATTTTAGCGATTTTAAGAAAGTTATTATCCTTTAAGTTTTTTGTGACCGCGTTAAATTATTTCCACACCATCTATTCTGTTTTGCTATCACATAATTCGGTACTACACTTTAATGTAACCCGCTTGCAATTTCAGTTTTCAAGAAATCGAGTCAATTAAATGAAGTTAATCCAATTAAAAAGCCATTATTTAAAACATTACGATTGCAAATTTCAAAAGTCATAATGATAACTTTTAACTTTTTACGCGATTTTTTTCTGGATTTTATCCTTTTCTGTCAAGAGACACTTCCGAATTTGTGTGAATCGTTAATATCAGATCAGCGTTTCTTTAGTTATAAGCGTAGTAACTAACACAATTTTTTATAAGCATTAACATCAATATTTTAAATTACAATTAGTAAAAAAAAATTTTCATATAAACAAAACATCATCGCAATAAGAGAGAGAATTTCAACAAAATGTGAAGAGAGGGTAAAATTTACCACACCTCGCTAGTTATAGGTTAAACACAAAAATAACGAGCCAACAGCGCGGACCAGACCAGCTGTAGCACAATGATTAACATTAATCAGCAAAAGTCTGC